CTCTACGCACTCTGCACAGCAGGTTGACAACTGTCTATGTCATGAAGCCGAAAGCGGAGTCCAGAAGTCGATGGAGCGGCTGCGAGATGACTTCCATCATCGAGATTGATATCCATAATCCAAAATCCCTGCCGAAGCTGGTTTTGTGGATCAATGAGATCCATGCTTGGGGGCTTACAGAGCATGCAGTTTCGTGCAAGAAGGACATAGGTGTATTGATTTCGTCGGGGAACTGATGCACTAGGAGACATGACTAGTTACTTAGGACAGTTATCAGCAAAGAGGATGATTAGCGTCATCTAGCTCAATAAAGCTGCAGTTATATCACATAGTCAGTCGTGATTTCCTAAAGGGTATAAAAGCAGGCAAGTAGAGAGACGGTGGGAACGCAAAACTACAGAGCATCCACAGGCATACCCAAGAGGTTATACTATGTAAAAATTAAGCTAGAAAGCAACCTCCAAGCTGGGTTTTATACTACTATAGGAATGTAAACATGTCAAGTTTACTAGGCCACTGAATAAAATAAATTATACAATGCTCTTTTTACTTAGGAATTAGCTTAGAAGGGAAAAAAAATAAAGTAATAATAATAATATCAAATGTATAATTCTAGAATCGATGATGGGAATAGATTGTTTTGACTTGATTTGCCAAAATTTTGTTCCGCCTTATCGTGACTTGTTCGGCCAAAGTCATTCGTAACCATTTTAAACATCTGCAGACCGCCAGAGTGGCAGAGCTCAGGTGGAGGCGCGCTGTTGTATGGGCACGTCCCATGAAGGCACTGGCTTCAGGATTTCCAGATTATATATTCTTCATTGCACAAAATGGTTTCTTATATATCTATCTAAGAAGCCATTCGAGTCGTTTGTAAGACGTGTCTGCATTGACAGATATAGCCAAGAGACCCATCCTACGATTCGCAGGCGCAGGACCAACAATAAGATACGATTTGTGAAGACTCTAAAAACAGAAAAAGAAACCGTTAAGCTTCAGCTGGAGTATTGGAGATTGGACGTCAATTAAAAACGATTATGGATTATGCTTCTGTGGTGGCAGGTCTTAGAATTACAGAGATAAAATGTACTCTATCGTTCATCCCTCCACTGGCACCCCTTTCTGCAGGCTGGTGTCTCTGAAGAGGCACCCTTTACGTTGGTTTGTCCCATCAATTCTTGACAGTGTATTTTGCCTTGGGAAGAAAATGTCATCCGACTTCCCCTTCTCTTATACCACCAACCATCAGTCCTTTCTTGAAAATGCATTTCGACTCCATACACCATGTCAAATTTGTCATGAAACCGATTATAACCTTCCAGGTTGCAGAGTTGAACGGTTCATTCGAGAGCACGATGCCTTGACTTGCCTATACCTTCCCTCCCTTCAGGTCCACATCCGAAACTCACACTGGTAACGGACTTGGCGCAGGACTCCCTATCACGTTTATGCAAACCAAATGTTTCGGTCCTGTGGGACGGGAACCTGCTCCATACGATCACCCACTGAGCAACAGGGTGACCATACAGCAGATTTGGTACATTTCTGACGTGGTGAACGGGAGCACGAGGAGCCAAACTGCATCGAGGAGACCATTTCGAACAGCGGAGCAGATACAGCTCAGAGAGAGCGTTAGGCTAGCTTTTCAATTCAGGATTGTCGCGCTCGAAGGCGGTGACAGCGCCAACAGAATCTCGTTGTACCGCAATTGCTGACAGGTTGGTCTTCTTTATTGGTAACCGTAAAGTATGTAGTTCGTGCGCGTACGGATTGCATTGATAAAAGACTCAGTCCTTCTGGAACGACGTCTAGACCGTCCTGATGAGCTACGTTCTCATCAAGCGTTCTGGAGATGAGTTTTGGTTGCAAACTACGCCGGTTCATTTGACTGATCAAGAAGACGTGGGTCACTCAAAAGAGCAGCGGTCTTGAACGCACGTTCAAGGAGCAATGTTATGTTCAGTTGGCGTATGTCGCTGGCAAGCAAAGGCTGTCGGGAAAGACGCAATATGTGCTGATCCTCATCTGCATTCATGCCCTCGAGACGAAGATGTTCCAGACAGAGACGTTTACTTCTGAATGGTGTGCTGTGAACCACATTCCAGCTCTCCAGCATGTAATCGATATTGTTGGGCGCGTTTGTCGTCGTGTACGAGGGATTTCCGCTGGCAAGCCCTGCAGGCTCTTGGAGTGGACCCAAAGCATTGGTCAGACCTTTGATACTCTCCCGCTGATCTGAGCCGTGTTGTATCACCTGGTCTTTGTGATTTCCAGCATCATCTTGCAGTAGGCTGTATTTGACGGTGTACTTGCGTATATCCACCTTCAAGAATGGCGAAAACTTATCCGAATCCGAATTTTTGATCTGCTGGCCGAATTCCTCCAACCCGGCTGTCGAGTGAGGACGAATATCGTCTTCGGAGGGAATGATTGATAGTTTACGCTTCAGTCGCCTTCCAAATAATAGATCGACAGTGAATGCTGGAAGTAACAGCTTATGTGACTGCTCCGCCAACACTGCCCAAGCACCTATGATGCTATCGGTGACAACAGACCCAGACTTGCCCTTTCGGAGGACGTCTATTTCAATTGCAGGAAGTTGGAGACCGGGAAACAGTTGCGATGTCAAAGGAACGTATCGTAAGCGGTACTTGCGTGTGTGTTTCTGGTCATTCGACCCACCAATGGCACTTTCAGGCTCGTCGAAAGGTGCGAGTGACGCGAGAAAGTTAGGCAAACCGGGAATATCTGGGGACATCAAGGTTGAATTTAGAGTCTTCGCCCTGAGTAATTTCCATTTCGTAAATTTTCCTAGGGGACGAAAGGCATCGGCAACAGTCATCTTCCCATGCGGAAACAAGATTTTGCCAATTTGTGCGAAGATCTCTTCCTTGACGTAACTTGAATCGATGAGCCGTCTTATACCATACTTTTTCTTCAACGACATGTCCATGAAGAATTCATCAAGGACGCCCTTCAGAGTTTTAGAGATGGTGGTGCTTTGCTTATTGATAGAGGTCAACTGCTTCACCATCTGGTGTCCTGCAGAGAGGTCCGATCCTGAATCAATGTAACCCCTCCCAAGTGGTAGTTGAGGAAAAGTCCAACGGCTCCATGTTTTCTGATCCAATCGATTCCACTGCTCCGGTGAATGATGCAGAACGAGGTCTGCTTGGCTGGAATTTTCCCAGACCCACATAGAAACCTTCTCTTGAGGCTCTGCATCTTTAATCGCAGGTAAAGAATTGCGTTCAGCAAGTAATATGGTGCGCTCTGCATTCAAAGCATTTTGGAGGTCCTGCGTTTTGTGGTAACAGATGCTGAGCGAGCCCTCGTGTCCTATAATATCCTCACCTTGTTTGAAAGCCCAAGCAATCATGACGTTGTAGGTTCGTGTGAGATGATCTAGAAGAGATGATGTCACAACCTTTTTCAGATCTGTGCCCTTCGAAGCAGAACGGACACGCAAATGGGTGATATCTCTGCAGAAGCTCGTTAAGGCGTCTCGAGCAGCAGTAACCTGCTTCAACCCTCCTTGGATGTTGATTCTTCCATTTCCTCCTACAACCTCGATTGTAACACTGAATTGTTCTTCTACTTCCTTCAACAATGATTGCCTATGTTTCAAAACGTACTCAAGCTTCTGAGTCGGCAATGGCACATACTGTTCTGTCTGCTCGTCGGCGAGACTCGTGAAAGCCCATTTGTGCCTTAGGATATGATCCACCAGACCTGCTTTCCCGAGCTTGGGTAACCCTTTCTCAGCGGTCACATCTTTTAGAGGATCTCCATCGGGGGTAGAGTTTCCAGTAGGTTTTGGTCTTCCTATACTATTGCTTGCATGTGAGTCAGTATTGGTGACTAGCTTTGGTCGATTGTCTATTTCGCAATATGATCGTAACTGTTCCTGGGTGAAACCATCCATGAGCTTCTTCTTCAACTCCACCCGCTGCTCTCCAGACAGAGCCTTGGATTGGTTTCGGTACGGGTCGGCGATCTGGTCTAGACTTTGTCTGACACTTTCTGAGCTCAAGGGTATATTTTCTGCTTGTAAGGCCTCTAAGATTCGTGGTTGAGATGCTTTAGACCGCTCAGCTTCATCGTCTGTAGCTGCAGGAATATGTCGATCTCTGTCCTTCAGGACAAGTACCTCGGCGGGTTTCCCAAGGGCTGAAACACCCAGCTCAGCGACTCGTGGTGGCTTCCATATCCGCCGTAGTTTGTTCTTCCTCCTTTTGGATGTGCGGTGCTTCCTTTGCGGTTCTTTGACATCTCCGCCGATATTTTCGCCAATGTCTTCGCCAGCGTCTTCGCCAGTATCCTCGCCAATATTTTCAACTACAGCAGCCGCTGTGCTTTGTGTTCGAGGACTCGGCCGGTCTGGACGCCGGCAATGGGGTGCTTGATGGAGGAGAGAGCGGGTGATCTGTAGTCGACATCGTAGGCACACGGAGGCGTCCTTGGGCACTCTGATCCACATATAGAACCAATTGATCCAAGCTTGTGACAAATGCGAACTGCTCGCCGTAGCAACAGTGAACCACAGAAATCTGCGCTGGCCAAAAGTTTCAGCTTCGATGATGCAGACAGGTAGTTTAGTCTTGGCAGGGGCGCACTCAAAATATCATGGCAGAGGTCTAGGATACTAAGTAGTAACTACTAACCTAACTTAAACTTGGTTTCATCCAGTTGTATTCCGGATTGGGTAGTCGTGTTCGACGATTTCTCTGATGGAACGTCTATCGAAACGCGTACTACACTATTCTATTCATCAGTATCTATAATGCAATTGTAAGCACTTCAATGTCAACCTGAAAATTGGTCTTGCCATTCTCTATCCATTGCCCCCTACCTCAGGATATTTCTAGTTATCTTAGCAAATTGAACCAATAGAAAGCCTCTACTCTGTACCAGAACCTCATTTCAAGACGTTCTAACCCAATTCGGAAGTAGCAACACTATAGAGAATAGAATTTGATATATCTACTATGGAAAGGCTAAATAGCGAGCCTAACACTTCGAATTGTGGGCGTCACCGTTTCAATTAAGATGCGGTATTTCCAGTGGGTTGTGAATATTCACTAGGTACCAGTTTTTGCTCGCTTGGACGAGTCGGTACCGTACGCGTAGCAGGTCGCAAGGAAAGTACTTCGGACAACTGGCTTTGCACTTGATTTTCTTGGGCTTCCAACTCTGAATTCCTACTTTTTTGGGCCGAGGGCTGTCCTTGGCCTGCGAAGCAGCTTCAACGACATCAATTGGCCCTGAAATCTCCTCTTGATGATGTTTTGAGTCATTTGCTGCACATCAATTGGTACGTTCCTAACCTACTGCCATTTTTGGGGGCAAGAATTTAAGGTTAAGGTCGTCATTAAAAGATATCAAATTTACGTAGTGGGTCAGAAAGGTGGATACGGCTCTTCATGGCAGCACCTGACTTGTAGTAGGACTGAAACTCTGCGCGTCGCTGCCTGCTATCAAATACAGCGACCACGAATCAGCTTTCGGTCTGCGAGTCTCTCAACATGAAGCTGTACAAATCCACACAAATCCACGCCCTTCTGCCCTTGCCCAGACAGCCATATCTCTGAGGTGGAGTTGTCACGTGCTTGTTACGCTTGGCGTCCGTAGATAGCTTCCGTTGCTCTTCAAGTTTTGCAACTTCTCTCCCAAGTCCATACTCAATTGAATCAATCAATTTGCTCATACCATACCAGGGGTGCAAGCCTCCCACACTCTTTACATTGCATTTAGATGAATGGCACCAGTTTTGGAAAATCACCCGGAACCAAACCTATCTTCACATAACCCACACTCTTACAGAACGAGAATACTTAAGAACAGACCGTCTCGGACAGCCTGCAGATCCATATCTTCTCTGGATGGAGTTGGGAAGAATGCTAGTGGATTCCGAAGCACCTAGCTTGAACTTATATTACTTCCCCTATGTCTACGATGGTGTACAAAGATAGAAAGTAGGGTTAACCCTGTTTACTGTCCTGAAGCTGTGTATTGCGTTACTTTTCGTTGTAAATCGGAATTGCATTCACCAGGCGCAATATATGCTTCTTTATTTTTTCTAGGCTGTTTGTCGCTTGAGAGAAGTGAAGCTCAGTCAGCCATTGTGGCTTTAGAGGCTGGACCTTCTTTCAGCCTTCAAAACTGCTCACGTCTCACAAGTTTTGCTTGTTCATCTCAACAGCCGTCAAAAATTCAGATAAATCGCGCTTGCTACTTAAGTCATCAAGGGCAGTTTTCAAGAAGTGACACTCTCGATAAAGTATGCTCAATGATTGGCCAAGAACCGTTTTCTGTTTCTGCCCGAACCCAGTTCTGGAAGAAGCTAAATCGTGAAGAGGACATGGATGGTTGTAGGCCATGGATGGTTGTAGGCCATGGATTCTATCGATAAGAACCGATTTTCTGCCGTCCCGCACCCGACAACTTGGATCGATCAGATAACGGCCGAACCAGAGCGTGGCTACCAGACGCGACATCCGCAAGCAGAATTCGCAATAATCCTGATGAGGCTTCTAAAAAGCTCGAGCAACTCCGCTGGGCTGACGTGGAAGATGTATCATCACATCAAGACCAAAAGCAGTGTGCCGTCGTATTTCAATAATAGAAACCCCCAAGGTCTTTTCTCTCTCTTGTTGACAAGCCATAAGTAACGGGCGATCACCATCGAGCCGAGGCTTCATGCCAAGAACCGGCTGTGCAGGACTGGGTCTATGCCCTGACCGGTAAGGCGCTTCTCGGCATTCGATATTTTTATGTGCACAGCCACAAGCTCGGCGACAGGCTTGCATCGAGATCGCCGCAAACCCGATGTTGCAATGTCCATCTCGAAGATTTCCATATGACGTTAGCTGAGTCTACTACGTACCATACGCGCTTCGAATCAAGGCAGATCTAAGGGACAGTATCACATGATGGATGCGGCCCTTGAATCAACAATGCTTGTGAGACGAGGTGAGGTTGATGGCATCCAATCAGTGGATCAGGCAGGGATCCCAGTCATTGGTATCACCAAGATCCCGCATGGTCTCGGCGAATCAAAGCACACATGACGTCCAAGACCAAAATCCCTCAGCTGAAGTTGCACAGACTAACGGAAGTCTAACTTGTGACATTGCTCAACGACTGGTGGTTTGGAGTGCTATTCCCTTCTGTCAAAAACATTTCCCGGTCGATCGAAACGTTGAAAGCAGCAGACTTCCTCACCCAGCGCGACGACTGGTTCCCTATTGACGGTATCTACATAATCCGAAGCGGGGGGAGCACATGTCGCATCCATGGTGTCGGAATCGGTAGTACAGGGAAATGGAGTGCTCCCTGTCATCCATGCCTTGTCCGGGGAAGAGAAACGTGCATCTCAAGCGCGCCGCAAAAGGGGGCCCTATACTCTCGCGCTTTGCTGATGGTTTTGAAACAGGCAACAGGGGTTGTAGGTAGCCATTAAGGAGTATTTTCGCGTCGGAGATGCACTACGTAAGTAACGTGATGAGTACAGTTCGTCGCGCGCAGCGTAAGGTGAATCCATGCTTTCGCCGTTCTTGGTCAAATGACCGAGAAGATCATCGCCTTGCGCTGACACGAGAGGCTAGTACAGCTCGGTGTCTGAGCTTCTGGAAGGATGACCATTAGAGGTATCCTCCGCTACAATAATAATATATGTGCAATCTCTTGCCGCTGTGCAGCGGCGTCATCCAATCTTGAGGCAGACCTGTAATCCACGATTGTTCCCATACAGACTACTGGTTCTCTGCAAATAATTCTCGCATAAGTACGGAGTAGTCTGATTCAATTCAGCTGAGCTGGGACACCAGTGGTGAGGACTGATCATTCTGCCTTTCTTGGGTGCAGATGGCTGGCTGCATGGACGGCTTTACAAGCTCTTCTGGGTACGAGTGTTATTGCGATTTCGGGTGTGGCTGGGCCGAAAGAAGACGATCATGGTCACGCTGCAAGCATTTTGGCTTGCATATCTGGCTGCAGGTCTGGCTGCATATCTGGCTGCAGGTCTGGCTGCTCCAACGCGTGCTCCGATGCAGCTTTCGATGAACTGCCACCGCCATGGCCTGTCGATCTCTGCTCCTGCATGCAAAACCATCACGCATTCAATTCAACCCTACTACGTACAGTGAGAATCCTGGCCATCATGGCAAAGTGTTTTGGCAAAGTGTTTTAGGTGATGACCATCTTGATGGCATTGGCACGGTATGGCCGGGGCAGCTCTGGCAGCTCTAACTAGTTAGCAAGACTAAGACGGAGATAGCCAGGTCGCTTCGGACACGCCTATGCAGAGTGGATTTGGCATTTGGACGTTTTGGGTCAGGACAGTAGCAGACCACTAACTAACCCAGTACGTAGTAGGACTGCGTACGTCTGTACGTAGTAGGAGGTAGTAGTACGTAGTAGCCTGTGCCCTCTGGCCGCCGCCGCTTAACAAGCCCCCAGATCCAAGGCGCTGTTTTTCGCCTCTGCTCGGTAGCACTACTCTTAGTAGCCATTCTGGATATAAGGCAGTCCTCCACCCCCACCATCTCGCTCCCTTGCCCATTCTGGTCATCCTTCCTCCATTCCGCCTCCCCTCTCAACCACCACCACCACCACCATCTCCGCCTCGCCATCTCACGCCTTCTCTAATCCTCTTAAATCTCGATCAAGGCGCGCACACTCTGTCCCTTGGCGGACTGCCAGATATAATTTGTTTCAATTTGTTTCTCATTTTTCTCTCCACTTCTCCTTCCCATACGCTCACGGTACCTCTTTTCGCACTTTCTACATAACGCCCGCCATAATGCCGACCATGTTATTACCTGCCTCTGCTGCGGCTTTCGCACCTCGATCCGCTCCCAACGTCGTTCTCAACTCCAAGGTGGAGCCATGGTTGACCGTCACTCTCAAGCGCATCAACCGGATAAAGCGGCCTCTGAACAGTGTACCTCAGCATACTCGGTGTCTCACCGAGACTTTGTCATCGCCCAATGCTATATGGTCGTTATGCTCTCTCATGCTACCTAAAGCGCCTGAGTCAGAGCTACGCAAGGATGCAAACCCATTAGTCGAGGCATTGTTCAATTATCAGCTTCTTCACATCGAAGCGTATGTCGTTCACGTCGATATGGTCTCACAGAATGAGGTCGCCTTCAAGCTAACACCAGAGACGATTGAGTCACTCGTTGAACATCACAAGGACATCTTTTCTGTCGACACTGCTGCCGCCACTTGGAATTGGTCTGAGAAGGAAGTTCAACTAAAGAAGCTGCAAGAAGAATTCGTCCAAAGCGCCAACAAATTTGTCTATCGCACGAACGCGTTGGCTTTGGAAGGTCTGGAAGAAGATGGAGCTGGCGAGTTGCTCTGCGGTCGAAGCGACGAAGTCCGAGAGGCCATCATGGGTCTTTTTGTGCCTCTCCTCCCACCTCCACAGAGGATTGTCGATGTCGTTCGTCCTGCTCCACTCCTTCCAAGCTCTTCAGGTGCTGAACAATGGTGGCCTTCGCAACCCATGCAAGCCCAGTTTTCTGCACCTATGGACTCTTGGAGGGTAGTGCCATCAAGTCCTAGCCCAGTTCCATCAAGTGATTCCCATCACAACATGTGGGCTGGCGTGGGCATGAACGACATGCACCAGCTACCATCACCAACGCCATCTTACAGCTCACCGTTCCCTGCTTGTTCCTATAGCGCCCCACAGTACTACAGCGCGCCGACCACGTCCGTATCCATTCCACAATTACCACTTCCAAGCATGTTGGCCCAACAGCAATGCAGCTCTACTGCTGCCATGACCAGCTATGGCTGGGATAGGTATTTGGAGTACACGATGCCGTACGCGACAGCCATGTGAGAATATTTTTGACCCTCTTGTGACAACACCCTTTTACTTCTGCCGATGTCTCACCGGCGCCGCTATGGCATTTGACACTATCGACGAGTGATGCGACCCTGAGCAAAGAACGACAGCGCATACAGGCATTAACATCAATATATATCATCAGCATCTGTGGCATGGAGTTATGATCGATTCAGCGACTTTTGGATACCCTGATTTGAACATTGGAATAATTTTCATCGGCAAGCGATTGGTTCTCTCTGGATTGTGTCAACATATACGACGTGGGTTTGCGACGTTTTGGCTTCTTGGATGATTTTGCATATCCCTGGGTGGATCAGATTCCTGCATTTCCATAAGAACGAATGCCTCACGGCAAGGAACGGATCTCATGCGCAGAAGGAATCTCTATTTGATATGTCGTGTCGAACAGCCGAGTGTCCTCGAGTCGGCTAGTCCTTCTCGGTGATTCGCTCTGAAAGACAAGCACAGCTATTTCACCCTTGCTACTGGCTAGCTTGATGAAATCGATTGGGCAACGGCATGGTGATGGAAAGCAATATCTGGGATATTGCTTGCATTGCTTTACTACATCACATCTGCTGGAAGGGGCAAAGGGAGGATACAGTTCGTGGCTTCAAGGATTCGTCTGTGGCGGTCCTGGAGCGAGAGATGATCTGTGATCATCTCGTATGGGTTGTGGACTCTCCGAACCTCGGAAGGTAGATCTGATGTGGTCTATAGGGTCATCTCCTATACTTCGGCCTGGTGCCGAGGAAGCTTTTCCACCGGATGGAAAGGAATCAGATGCTGGATCATCGAAGCAGTGCCTCGATTATATATCACAACTGTAATAAACAATTGAACATGTTTGAACTTCCCATCGTGCAGCCTTCGGTTCTTGAGCCTGTAACCCCTGTAGAGTCCCAATGATCTGATCACCGAAATTGACTGCAATATTTCCAAGCTTTGCGATCCTTCAGTCGAGTCTCCCAGAATAGCCATCACGTTAGTCATCACATTAGCCCTCACATTCGAGCTGATTGGCGGCACCGAGTGGCCGGGAGGAATAGCAGGCGGGCACTGGCAGCTGAGTGCCATCCATAGCGCATGGCGGAGAAACAAGGCGTGGGCTGGATCGTGCCAGCACAATGACGTTCTTCCGGGCATTGGCTGACCCCTCTCTGAACTCATCCTGATCCAGCTGCAAGCTGCACAACGGCAAGCTGCATGACGGCAAGCTGACAGTCCGTCCGGAAAGGTGTCCAAACAGACTTCATTGCAGTCCACTGCTGAGTCTTAAATATTTGCTACCAAATTAAATCTGAGTCAGTCACTCTTAAGTAAAGAAATTTCACTGCCCGATCTGAGAACCGGCTCTGATCTTCTTCTCAGACCATGCAACCCAACACAACAGCTTCACATTAGAAGGACCTTTGAGTTAGTTAAGGCGTATATCTGATCTCTCGTACCAATCATCAATCATGGCAGCGCTGCATTCTGCCTTACAAGCCCTTGGGCCATGCAAATTCGAGGACGTTCCTGGATCACCACCAGAGCTGGAAGGCTACTTACAAGACCTCTTTCAACAAGCACAACTCATTCTCGAATCAATACCTATACCCCCTCCTGACGAGAAGCTTGAGACTCGTTCCCGTTCTCATACAACCACTTCGATTGCCTCCAATGCCTCCGAGATCTCGTCTTCCTCCGCGCGATCTGCTCCACCAATTTCTGAACATGCCGCGCTACAAAAGGAATGGGGCAAGCCAATCAAGCTGTCTGCAAAAGACAACCCCCTCAACATGGCCGTATATAGAATGGGTGGGAAAGATGGAAGAGGTGCATGGTTTGCACGACGAAGTGTGCAGGAAGGACTGGGATTCGCCAAATTCAAGAAGTCACTAGAGCTGGAATTTCCTGAATCGTTAGCCGTACAGGGCGCACCCGGTGAGGGAAATGTAAGAGGGATTGGTGGTGACAAGAGGGTCGAAGATATTTCAGTTCCAGGCAAAGGCCGGGTCGAGGTCTTTCAGCTCAGCGCACAATTTCCTGGCCCAACTACACCGCGGGATTTTGTCACATTGCTCATCAGTTCATCAAATGCCATAAAGCAGAATGACAACTCGGGCAGGCCGGACTTAACTCCGCGCCATTATATGATCATTTCCAAACCTTGTGATCATCCTGAAACCCAACCACGAGATGGCTTTGTACGAGGCTATTACGAAAGCGTGGAATTTATCCGAGAAGTGCCACAACGACCGAAAAGGACGAGGTCATCTTTGGACTTGACTAAGCTGGGGGCTGGTACAAGAAGTGCTTTAGAGAAAGAAGCTCTGCTTAGGAATGCTGAGAAGAAAATGACCAACTCCATGTCTACGAATCATGAAAATCGGAGCATGGGCGATCTCAGCGCTGCCACAAAAGGTAGTGAGGAGCTGAATAGAAGGAGGGGAAAGACCATTTCTTTTTCGGAGTCGAAAGCAGACGATATGCATGCTGACGACGACGGCGTGGAGGAAAAGTACGATCCTGAAGCAAATCCAGTAGAATGGATCATGGTTACTCGAAGTGACCCGGGTGGAAGTGTTCCCAGATTCATGGTCGAAAGAGGAACGCCAGGGAGCATCGTAGCAGATGCGTCCAAATTCCTGAATTGGGCGTGCCAGAACGAGGACATTGAGGATTCGAAGAGTGATTCTCATGTAGACTTGGGGCACCGTCGTGACAGCATTGCGAGTTACCAGACCAATGGTCACCTTGCTGGCCTCGACCACGATTCAGCTGGAGAAATGGCCACATCGGATGAACTTTCCTCAGCATTACCGTCGACATCGCACTCTCAAGCAAAGTCTGCTAACCAAGCGGGAATCCTATCGGACATGACAGGTGCCCTCTCTGCGGGACTTGAGGCATACGCACCGCAGATCGTCCTCGACCGCCTTCCAGGACATACACCCCAAGGATCCATCCACACTGGAGCAGGCAGCTCAACCACTCTGGGTCTAGATGCCGACGACGATTCATCCGACTCCATGTCAACCACTTCCTTTGCCAGCGCAGACTCGCATCTCGACGATGAATCATCAACCGACCAGCCCAGCGCCAGTCCCCCACCAACAACCTCCAAATCCTCATCCCAACAGAAAGGCAAACCCAAAGACGTGTCGAGTTCCAAGTCCAAAACCCACCTAACCTCCCACGAAAAAGAGCTCGCCAAACTCTCCGCCCGCCGCACAGCCCTTGACGCTAAGATCGCCTCCACCCGAAGCAAATCCGCCCAATCCGCCCAATCACAGACACAGAAAGAAAAAGAAGCCCTCCGCAGAGCCGAGGAAAAACACGCCAAAGAAATGGCCAAACAAGAAGAGAAGTATCGACGACAGATTGAGAAGATTGAACAGAGGAAGAAGAGGGAAGAGAAGAAGATGGAGGAGCGAAGGAGGAAGGAGCAGGAGAAAGCGGAGGAGAGGAGGAAGAAAGAAGACGAGAAGGATCAGAGGACGAAAGTGGAGAGGGAGAGGGACGAGGCTAGGGAGGAGGCGAAGAGGCTTAGAGCAGAGATTGAAGAGGTGTGGGTTAAGAGGGTGGAGGGCTTAGAGGCTGAAATGCGGAAGTTGAAAGGGAGTGGTAAGAAGGACGGTAGTCTTCACCAAGAAGACAAAGGTGGGACAGAAAAGGAGACAGATGAAAAGCTTCCCACCCTTCCGCCTCGACCAGTCCCCGTCAGCCCAGCAGTCGAGAAAGATTTCGTCAAGAAGAACCTCCTGAAAGAAGAGAAGTCGGGCCTGGGAAGGAGGATGAGGGGAGTCAGTTTCGGCAGCGGAAGCCCCAAGATCAACGGCAATACGGGTGCCGGTGCCAGCAGTGATGGGGAGAGCGGGAAGAGTACCACTAGCAGCCTGAGAGGCTCGAGTCTGTTGAGGAGAGCTCCTACGACCCTGGGCATCATAGGTGCAGCTGCGGCCGGGAGCGGTGAGAGTCTAGAGCATAAGAAGGGCGCGTCTTCTTGAATGGAGGGACGAGTGGAGCAGGGGCTGACGGATACTTTATCATTGCTACAATGCTCATGCAACAAGTACTATCTATAAACGGGTTGAGCTGCGGAAGATAGATTGGAGCGCGAATCATGAGTCATGGCCCTGTTAGTTATCACGTACAGCCTTCGAGAATGCTCTTGGATCGCCGAATCATTGTGACTAGGCCGATACAGAAGCTGATACAGAAGCTGATACAGAGGGCCAGTATAACTTGAACTCAGAAGCTTTTACCCAGGCGGTCTTACCAGCTCCGGGATGATTGCCCTCCCTCTGGCGGAGATTGCCCTTAGGGCTCTAGACACCATCCTCATAACATTACTACGTCAACAAAGATGAGGTTCATGGATATCATCTCCCTGGATTGGGTTGACAACGACGCGATGCCTAGCAAGTTGGTTTCAAGGCTCCACAACCTTTAGTCTGTCGATTTTCCTGTCAACATGTCCCCAGGACCATTTCTCGCCGTCTTGGCCCCTTACAATCTCTACTCTGACGACAGCATAGCGCGACGTCCCTGCTGATGCGGGGTCCTGACAGAAAGTCAGGTGGTTGTCTTTGGAGACAGCAGGGACTTGTCCGGACATACCATGTTTGGTGGAGCGTTGCCAATGATAGTATCCAAAAATATCCGGAGGTTCGGAGCCTTTGCCAACAGATCCCCTACACTCGGGTCCAAGTAATGGCGAAAGGACCATTCGAGGAAATCTCGCATCTGATCATCGTCGAGGTGGGACTTGGGTGTCGTGTTGGAAAAGGCCGTGTTGCCTTTCCACCCCAGAAAGAGTTTCCTGAGGGTGGCAGGTAGATCTTCGACCACGGTTTTGTGCACCATGTTTCTGAAGCCTCCGAGCGCAACCGACTGGAGACGAGCCATGTTGTCTGGCCCGATCTTCCGTCGGAGGACATGGAGGTAGGCTTCGTGTTTCAAGCTGATGGTGGCCAGCTCGTAGAAGATCGGGAGTGATTCATCGTAGCAGGTGCGGCATGTGCGAAAGATGGCCCACGGTGCCTGCTCGGGCGAGAGGGTCGCACTGGCGACGGTGACGCTCAATTCGGAGAAGAGATGGCGGTAGACTAGTAACCTAACTTCGGTGGGGAGGTGCAGAAAGCAAAGAGGCGGGTTCATGGCTCTGGTCCTGATGGGCAATTCGAGAGGAATTGGGCTGCTGCTGCTGCTGCTGCTGCTGCTGAGGCAGGTTGCCCACCCTGGGCAGTGAAAGAAACCCTGATCGAAGGGTAACTAGTGGAACGTGGTGAGAGTTTACTAGCACGAGTCCTCTGTAGCACAGCCAGATCTGTTGAGCCGCAGGTCTAAGCTGCGGGTCCTCCGGTCTGTGCTTGTAATAGTTCCAGTTAACCACGGCCTCTGGGCCTTTTTACAGATGTTCCATAGGGCTTCCGGGCCCGGTCATAAGAGAGGGGAGGATGTCTGCCGCCAAGTGCCACTAGCTTATTAACTTAGCTGCACACCTCAACTTGGAGTGCTGCCAGTGCAATAACAACTGGAAGCAGAGTACTCTGTAAATGCGCAGCTTTTCTTCACAGCTTTGCAGTCATCCTTCAGGATTTGCTGACGATGAGCTGATATGCCTGCCATCATGTATCAGATTTGCATTTACAAGCTATACAATTTTCTGCTTGTGCCCGGTTTCATGGTTCTTTTCTCAGACAACCGCAATTCACATTCCAAAGAGAAGTATATATCACCTTTTGATACTGAAGCAATCCAGCGCGTCCTGGTGACTACAAGCCGTCTTCGGATATCTGCATTGCTTCTTCTTTCTCTTAACAAGATGCCCACAGAAAGAATTGCACTTTTCCAAACCGCTGATACCGCTGAGTCCAGAGATGTCTTCTTCTCCGAACTATCTGAACGACGCTCGGAGCGGTTATAGCTACACTGCGGAGGGACAACGAAGGAACCAGACAATCGACCGTATTCTCAACAATCATTTTGAGAGGAGTGTCGTTGTAGAAGAACTAAGGGTTCCTCGTGATGACGAAAGAGGTAATTTCCTTTCTCGTTATTCATTCAGTCTTCATCGAATTACTTGTTTGTAGAATTGCATGCTGATATTTCAGGTAGTGGCACGAGCACGTGCCTCTCATATTTCTAATGCTCAACGTCTACAGTCCATTGCAGATCGAGACAGAAGATATATGAACTCAAGTAGATCGGATCTACAGAAGAGAAAGGATGTAGAAGCAAGTCTGATGAGGTTTTTCATTTACCTAGACGCGGAATTGGGCACCTCGTTGTCATCCTGTTTCAACCAATGGCTGACCTGTCTACAGCTGGAAGACCACGAAGTGTGGTGAACGGATACCGACAGACATTGCTGAGATGATAGCCAGTCACAACAGCAAAACTGCGGATGGAGATACACCCCTGGGTTTGGCAAGGCAGTACAGTGGCAAACATCCAGGACGATGAGGGTTCAGAGTCTCAACAATCTCGATCTTGCTGACTGGTTACTTGCCCAACGATGCCGGTCGTTTTGTCTGTCAGTCTTTTGTATATCGTGCAGGAGTAAAATCCTTCATCTGCTAGCGCATCAGGGGCTTGAACAAGACGACAATAATACTCGTTTATGGCGGGGATCTTTGAGAAACTGCCGCGTATACCTAATAAGTGGACATAACAACCTAATAGTGCTGCCATTATCCTTATCGGATCATCCGAAAACGCTACATCATTGGACCGTAGTTATCGTATCATTGGATTTTCATTATCCTACGCTATCATTCAGTTGTCATTAGTTAGGATATTCATGTACGTGTACGTACCGAATGGCGAAAAAGACTAACAAGATAGCGAACAGTTAGATCACAAGGGATAAAGAGAGAAAGGGGGGCTTGGGGCAGAGAGAAAGTTGGATGCCCAGAAGCACAATCTCAGCACCAATAGTTACATGCAGTGCTCGTTCTGTAAGTACAGCCTTGCCAGCACCACAGGAGAGATGCTTGCTAGGCTTGCTCATCGCTAACTCAACTGATCTATGGCTTATCCCACAGATCTAATCTTCGTTCCTGCATGCGCATCTGTCTTGTAGTTGATTCACATTCAAAATCAGCATCCCAGCTCCTTGCCAGTCGCAGTCGCAGTCGCAGTCGCAGTCGCAGTCGCAGTCGCAGACATGGGCTGGGCTGGGCAATCCCTGCCCGTCCTGTATTCGCCGGCGACAGAAGAGACTCTTCAAGATGCAGAAGAGGTGTGTGGGTGTATCAATTGAGACATCTGCCCCGGCTCTTGAGATGTTGGATTAGCTAGCTAGGCCTTGTGTGTTGCAGCTGATCAGGAGGTTTGGTGGTTGGGCCTCTTGCATAAGGATATGGAGGCTTGGGATCATAATGGGTTTGCACTCAGAATGTTGTGAGGACGGGAGGTAGATGTAGCTCTGTCAGCCTCTTTGGTCAGCTAGAGGAGACTGAGGTCGGAAGGGCTCGCATGGTTCCGTGGTTGAGTGGCGGTGTGGTGATCCTTTGAGCTGTTGGTGTGGTGCTGGACGCATGGCATTCCAGCCTTCGAATCAATGACCGAGCATGCAAACAAAGCGCACCAGGATTAATGACGAATCCAGCTCGAGGTCTTGATCGGGTTGTTAAAAAAAGTGGTTTCTTTTCCCTGCTTCGGATACTCCACGAATAAAGATTCTTCAAGCGCTTCTCTCTTCACTTGCACCAACCCCTGCCCCCCTTTTCTTCACATAATCCCATCATACCGCCTCCCTTCCCATCCATTACCCCTATTTCCCACCCCCATCCCGCCTTTCCACCTCCTCGTCCCCATCC